CACACACACACACACACACACACACACACACACACACACACACACAAAGAGTCATCAGCTCTTGCCCTGAGAAGTCACTGTGGTAGGATTTTTTTTTCTATAATGGACAGTTTGGTTTTGGAAATGGATAAAAATAATAGAGCAGGGATCCAACTGAGTGTTAATGTAGGTCCAAAAGCAAACTACTAAGAAACACCTGCGAACTAACAGGGGACTTGACTCTGAAACCAAAGGCAATCTGGAAAGAAACCAACAAGCCCTGTATGCTCAGTGGGTGCTCTGTACGCACAGTGGGTCTTGGTACCAAGGCCGAGCTCTGGGCCTGGCACGGTGTGTCTGTGAGCCGGAAGGGCCTGGCCTTTCAGGACAGCAGCAGGTGAAACACCTAGCAGCCGGGGCCCTTTCCTTGTCACTTGTCCCCATTTTGTTTGCTTAACCTCCGGCCATCCAGCTTCATCTCTGAACATCTAAGGTTAGAATTTCATACCTTGGAAGTTCTAGCAAATGCTATGTTTCAGTCGGTCTTTTGTTTTAAGCTAAAAAAATAATTGTCCTGTGCGAGAAGGCAGTGTGCTTTGTGGAAAGAATATTTGCTTTGGAGCCAGACAGTCTTGGCTTCTGAACCAAGTTCTGCAGCTCCCTGGGCAGTCACAGTCCACTTGTGAGTCTCAGTATTCTAATCTTTATAGTGGACATCAAATACTTGAGACAGTGTGGAAATGGAGAATATACATATAACACACCTGCCTTCTACCAGGATGATGTATATAAACATACAGTACAGACAATACAGACGGTCAGCTGGGCACAGTGGCACGCCTGTAGTCCCAGTTTAAGGCCAGCCTGGGCAACTTAGTGAGATCCTGTCTCAAAATGAAAAAAGGGAGTAGGGATATAGTGCAGTGGTTAAGCTCCCTTGAATTCAATCCTTAGTACCAAAAGAAAAAAATTATATGTGTGTGTATATAATTATAGCTACTCACACACACACACCACACACACACACACCTATACACACCTTCACCTGTATGTGCAGCTATAATCACTACAGGGACTCCTCGTACAGTTAAACCACAGAGCCATTATTCCTAAGTCTGCTAATTGTCCTGCCCTTTTAGGAGTGTGGCCACTGTTTCTGTCTTGACTGTGACGTGTACACTAGAAGAGTGGTCCGGCCTTGCTCACCGAGGACAGCCGCTCCGTGCTGTGTGAGAGCTGCCTGTAGACCGGGTGCAGGCAGCTCCTGACCACGCGAGGGCAGGGAGGCCAGGACAGCTGGTTGGCTCTGTCCCCCGTAGGTCTGGAACGGAGAGTGAGCTAAGGAAGGCCAAAGAGGACTCTCAGCAGATGACCCCAGACAGGCCTAGACTGGACTTTACACTGGTTCCTTTTTCCCTGGTATCGAGTCCCCCAGGATGAACTGCCCTCCCTCGCCATCACCACGCAGAGCTGAGGACAGTTGAGGGTTAATCCCCCCATGAGAAAGCCACTCGCTATTCACTGGGTCCCAGCAGGCCAGGCCTTGGAGGCCCTGTCCAGAGCTGGTCTCCAAGCGGACAGCCTCTGGCTGGGATTCCTGTCTGTCAGCACTCTGTGCCCCAGCAAGCAGCCCTCCTGAGGAGTCTGTCTGTCCCACCATCCCCGCCTCCAACCCGTGGGCTGCGCTGCGCTTCCTTCCTCTGTAGTCTGACTGGGGGGAGGCAGGTGAGGAGCCAGCAGGGGGCTGTGTGGTATCTTGGCGTTGGAGGCAGGACGGGTGCTGCTTCAGAGGAGGAAGGGGATGGGAGCTCCGTGTCCTCTTGATAGGACCCGTATCTGCAGTCACTCTTTTTGGTCGGGAATGAGTGCCCGTGTGGGCTGTTGCACTGTGGAATCCTGTTACTGGAGAGAACAGATAAAAGTGGCAAATTTTTTAAAGATGTTATTTATTGTGAAAAGAACTCTTAACACGAGCACCACCCTCCTGACTAGAGGGGCAGGTTTCTGATAACCTGACTCCTTGCTGACACAGGAAGTGCGGTGTAGACATCATCTGTCTTTCTGCCTTAAAGTAAAAAGATGCTTTTGCTAAAGGAAGAAATGTGACATTTTTCCCTGGAATGCTTGAGTCTGTAGACAGTGTTCATTCTCCCGGGGTTCTTGGGGTAGTGTTTAAGATAGGTGGTTTGCCGGGCACGGTGGCACACGCCTGTCATCCCAGCAGCTCAGGAGGCTGAGGCAGAAGGATCACCAGTTCAAAGCCAGCCTCAGCAAAAGTGAGGTGCTCAGCAACTCAGTGAGACCCTGTCTCTAAATAAAATACAAAATAGGGCTGTGGGTGGGGCTCAGGGGTCGAGTGCCCCTGAGTTCAATCACCGGAACAAAAAAATTTAAAAAATTAAAAAATATTTGATTTTTAGCTGGGTATGGTGGTATACACCTGTGACTCAGGAGAATGAGGCAGGAGAATCATAGGTTTGAGGGCAGCCTCAGAAACTTAGTGAGACCCTATCTCAAAATAAAAAATTTTAAAGGGCTGGGGATCTAGCTCAGGGCTAAAGCACCTCTGAGTTCACTCCTCAGTACCATAGATAGATGGATGGATAGATAGGTAGATAGATAGGGTTTCCTCTCTTTGGTGATGGGAATCAAACCCAGGGCCTTTGTGAGTGTGAGGCAGGTGCTCTCTAAGTACTGTGGCTCAGTTATAGAGCACTTTTAAAAATTCGAGGTAATTCAGTTTCTTTGGCGTGAAATTCATACAGACTTTTATGAGCTATTCCTTGCACATTCTTCTAGATCAGCATCTTTGCAGATGAATCTTTTCTTAAGAAAGAGCCCCATGAGAGGTTTCAGGAGCCTGTAAGCTCTGAAGAAAGCAGCGGCAGAGTCACACCTGCTCCGTCCTCGTGGCACACCTCAGTTACAGGGTCCCTGCCACCTGTTGGACACTTCCTGCACCTGCCCCGTCTCCAAAACAGATCTTCCCCTGGGTCACTTCCTGTCCCATGTAAGAAAGATAAAAGAGAGAGAAGATAATTTTTAGCAAGAAAAGGGAAAATGGCAGATGGTTGTCTCCGTGTTATTTCCCTGAGCGCCCAACTTACAGCAGCTCCCAATAACCACGTAGACATTTCCCCGGGTAGAGAAATAATATCTGAGTGTTATGGAAAATGCTGAAGAGTTTGAAGAGGAATGATGGCACTTGGCTATTTGGCTGTCCTACAGCGTGACCCTGCCTGCCACTGCTGGTAGAAATACATTCTCTTTAGATTTGTCTGTATTTCCCAATTTTTCTATTAAAAGCACCCATGTTGCAAGCAGTTCAGAAAATAGAGCAGCATTAGCAACAGGATGGTGAGGAGCCAGTCACTCTAACATGCATGCGCATCAGGCGGAGAGGAGGAGCTGTCAGGACAGAGCTCTTGGGAGGCTTCTCCTGTCGTGTGGGTGGAGAAAGTTAACTTCTAAATCTTTCTCCAGGCCCCTAAAACCAGCCTTTTGAGGTTTCTTCCTGGAAAGCAGGTGGGTGACCTTCTAAACTTTCTTGTTGGCCTGACAGGTGACCTGCCCCAGCACCTACAAGTCATGATCAACCTCCTGCGCTGTGAGGACAGGATCAAGCTGGTAAGCAGGGTGGAGAGCGCAGGTCCCTATTTCCCACATTGTGACCACAGCCAAAGCCAAGGGGGCTGTGGTGCAGCTCAGGGGTGGAGGCTGTGTGAGCCCTAGGTTCAGTCCCCAGCGCCACCTGGAAAACAAACCCTAGAGGGGCCCGCAGAGGGCCACACCAGGGCTCCCGGGCAGCCTTGCCTAGAACCTTCTTCCTCTGGACGTGCGCTCATTGCACATATTCTGGATGTCTCCCTTGAGCCAGGACTGTCCCTGCTGCTCAGGAGACAAGTAGGACCTGGCTCCTGCCCTCAACAGTGGCACCCTTCCTTCTTCCTACACAGGGGGCAGGAGGTACTCTAGCTGTGGTCTTGGGCGGGCAGGGGAGGGAGGTGCTCCTCGGGGAAAGGTCAGCCAGCAAGCGCGTCCCTGCCCATACAGGCCGTGCGCCTGGAGAGCGCCTGGACGGACCGCGTGCGCTACATGGTGGTGGTGTACAGCAGCGGGCGCCAGGACACCGAGGAGAGTATCTTGCTGGGAGTCGACTTTTCCAGTAAGGAAAGGTGAGTCTCATGGGGAGGCGGTTCCGCCTAGGAGGGGGAGAGAGTTGCTGCTGGAGCAAAGTTTCCAGGGAGGAGTGTGGGAGTCCTGGCAGAGGTCAGGGAGTGGCGAGGCCTGAGCTCTCGGGCTGGTCAGATGCAGGCTGTGCCGTCCAGGGACCGAGTCGGCTGAGGCACAGGAGACCTGCGCCGTGATGAGCGGCCATCAGGAGGAGCCACCTGAGCCGGGGTTTGTTCAGCTCGCGGATTTAGAGGCTGGAAGTCCGTGAAGAGGCAGCTGTTTGGCCTCTGGCCAGGGCCTCATGGCAGATGGCATCCCAGTGGTCAGAGCATGTGCAGAGGATCCCTCAAGAAAGACGCTGGAGGGAAACGGCCAGGCTTGTTCTGGCCAGGCTTGTTCTTACCGACTGTCCTGTGCAGACGGAACAGGTTCCTCCCTCTGGGGGCGGAGCCACGACCCTCCCCTGGGCCCCGCCTCTTAAAGGTCCACCACCTCAACTCTGCCACCCTGGGACCAGCTTCCAGCACGTGACCCCTTCAGGAGAACTTCAAACTGTGTCCATGTCACAGCAGGAGCCACTTAGCCAGGAAGGAGGAACCCGCTGTGGTGAGCGTGGAAGGTGACCCATGGGAATGTGCGCTTGCGGTGTCTGTCCAGCTCTGGTGCAGCAGTGACAGGTCCTTGGTCAGGTTCTAAGAGAGACGTGCAGTTTGGGTGGATCAGCTGAGTTACATCACGACCCCTGTTGTGCACGTGAGGCGGCTCCCCTGGCCTGTCGTCCTGCAAGGACAGGTGTGTGGGTCATTGCAACCCCGGATTCATAGAACCAGGTCAAAGCAATGCCATTCAGTGTCCACTAGTCTACCTGCCCATCAAGCACGTAGTGAGTTTTGTGTTCTTGTGTGTGTGAGACCCAGCTGGGCCACAGGGAGGCCACGAAGCAGCCACACGCAGCTCTTGGTATCACGGCACCACCCTCCAGGAGGGGGAGAGGCGCGATGGTGCAGATGCTTAGGCTTCCAAGGTGACATGGCAGCTGTTAAGCCAGACCTTACAGGACCAGTGGGTGGGGCCAGGAGGCCTGTCTGAGTTGTCACTGGCAGAGGCGGGGACAAGGCAGTGAAGAGCCACAGGGTGGTGCAGCCTCGTCTTCTGAGCTGCTGCGAGCCCTAGGTTGGTTCCCAGAGGCGGTTCCTTGGTTAGAGGTCTTGGATGGAAAGGGGGAAGCCCTCCTTCCCGTGCCTTGGGGCCTGATGGAAACACCTCCTGTGCATACTTTCGGGGAGCTGGCCTTGGTGGCCTCGTGCTGGTCGGGAAGTCTGGGTCTAGAAGATGTGCAGCTGCCGTCTCAGGAGGCGTGCTCTGAAGGGCCACTGAGGGCGTGAGGTGGTGTCAGATGCCACCAGGCAGGTGTCTTAGAGTGCTGCAGGCCCACCTTCCCAGGGGGCTGTGCAGGCTGTTCAGTGGTTAGAGAGCTGGACGTCTCCCCTGGGCAGGGGCTTCTCTCATTGTGTGTAGTCTGACTAGTGACCCTTTCTGATCCTGAACCCGAGTCTGCCTTCCATAGACCCTCCCGTCATCTGGATCCTGACCAGGAGCTTCATAGGAACGCGGTCCTCCTCCTGGTCCTCTCTGTTGCTTGAGCTGGCCACCACAGTCCAGTTACCTAATGCCCCGGGAGCAGCCCCCGTGGTCCCTCGCCCTCCTGTGGAGTAGGCAGCCCTATTCGCACCCCACAGATGAGGGGTCCGATCCCAAGAGACCACACGAGTGCATGAGGGTCACCCCAGTGAGTGGCCAAGCTGGGAATCCATTTGTCCTTGCACTGTGGAGGACCCCACTCGTTATTCCCCGCCACGTAGGGCTCTCCACACACCACCCTGCTCGTCCATCACCTGCAGCTTGTCACCCAGGGACTTGTCAGTTCTATGTGCCAGATCTGCCAGGTGCCGGGGGCTGTGTCAGGGGGCAGGACAACAACCCGTGCCCCCTCAGCCCAGGGTCATGGACGACGTTTGGCCTGCACGCAGGACCCCGTTTGTTCTTCCCACTCGGGATGCTGCCCAGGCCCCTCCCTTCTGACGTGTCCTGCCCGTCTATGCCTTCTTCCCTTGCCCTCCTCCTGACGCCCTGGCTCGGGTTCTCTGTGGGGTCCCCTTTCCCTGGGACTGTGGCCCTCGTGCCAGCGTCTCCCTACCCTGTCTGGTCTCAGTTGCTGCCTCCTGTGGGCACCAGCCTCAAGGAGGAGCTGGCTTGTGGCTGGACAAGGGTGTGGGGAGGCTGAAAGAGCAGGACTCAGGGAACTCTGGGCACGTGGGGGTCTGGGAGCTGCTGCTCTGTGGCTCCCACACTGCCCAGGTGCCCGCTGTCCTCCTGTGCCCTGGCCTGCAGATCCCCAGTCCTCACCAGAAAGGCTTCCCCTGCTGAGGTCATGATTCTCCGGTTTTCCTAAATTCTTGCGGCGAGATTTTGTTTCCTTAGCCCAAAAGAGAGAAAGCAGAGCATCGCCTCCCGGGGACCTTCCTTGGTTCCTGGTGACAGGGTGTCCAGGCGAGTCGTGTTAGAAAAAATCATGTGGAAACGATGGCTGGTGCGGCTGGCATTGTCCCCAGAGTTCTAGACCTGCTCATGCCTACTTGGGAGGCCAGGTAGCCGCCCCAGAGATCCATGTCTGGTTAATTGTCATTTTAGATTCAGGAACTTCTTGAGAGCCACACTGCTGTCCTCCGTGCGTTAGTGTCTGCCACCTGTAAAGGTCTGGGGCAGGCCCTTCTCCTGCTGGTGCCTCCATCCTGTGCAGGCCCAGCTGGCTTCTCTGTTTCCACTGCCTGGGCCCCAGGGTCTGGGAACCTGCTTTCTGGTAGAGTTGCCACCCCCCACTTGACCCTTCAGCACGTTCTTCCTCTAGAAAGACCCCTCCCCAGCTCCCATGTTATCCAATCCATAGACCCACCTCTGCTACAGAGACTTGGTGTTGGTCACTGTGGGACCAGTGGAGGCACAGTGGCACCTACAGGGTGCTAGAGGAGTTGTGGAGCGGTACAGTCTTGTGGTCCCCTGTCTGTGCTCTGGGCTCTAGTTCAAGGCTGTGAACAGAAGTCCTCTGTGGAGCCTGCACAGTGGCTTGGAGGCTGAGGCAGGAGGATGGTGAGTTCAAAGCCAGCCTCAGCAAAAACAAGGCCCTAAGCAACTAGGGAAACCCTGTCTCTAAATAAAATACAAAATAGGGCTGGGGATTCGGCTCAGTGGTCGAGTGCCCTTGAGTTCAATCCACAGTTAACCGCCCCCCCCCCCAAAAAAAAAACACAAGTCCTCTATGGACTCTGACTGCTGCCAGGTTCTTATCCTATCTGGGCCCAGGGGAGGACGGTTGAGGTGCCCCTTGTCCCATGCAGGCTGTGTGGGCTTCTGCCTGCCCTGGAGCCCCTCCCGGTCTGGGCTGTGTGTGGCTGTCTGTGCTGTGACCTCTGTTCTTTGCTAGTCCCTGGCTTGTGTGCTCAGTGCCAAGGCGTGCCCTTCCAGGCCTGCCCACCCCAGGGCACCGTCCGGGATGGCTGTGTATCGGCCCTTCCTGGCCCTGGTACAGCTGAGTGTTAAGGACATTCGGTGAGCCCATCGAGGTTGGGCAGGGCTGTGGGGGCAGAGTCGGAGAATCGGCTCGGCCCGAAGGCACTTGAAGGCCTTGAACAGATGTGGAAGCAAGTGGTCAGGAGGAGGGGCCTGCGGGTGGGGGTGCTCTGGAGGGGAAACTGCCCTCGAGTCTCAGAGCCCCTGGTCCGGCGGAGTCAAGTTACTCCCCAAGGGGACTGTTGAGTGACAGACGCATAAGTCCAGGATCCTGGTGGCTGGCAGGGCTGGCCCCTGGCACGGTGGCGGCCGTTTTACACAAGCTGTTTTAAATGCCCTGAGAGTGTTCCTGGTGATCTGAGGAGCCCCTCTGATAAGCGTCTTCGGTCTGCTTTTCGGTGGCGCCAGTCGCTAAAGTTGACAAGTATCATTTTCCCGTTGGGATGGGCAAGACAAAACCAGATTCAGCCAGTTTGTAAGGTGGCAGCTGCACAAAGGGCGGTAAACAGAAGTCTGAAAGTACATTAATAGTAAGGCGGGCACTCGCCCACTCCTGCCCCCCAGGACAGAGGAGGCTGGGCGCCCACTCCTGCCCCCCAGGACAGAGGAGGCTGGGGCTGGCTCTGCCACCTGTCCAGGGGCCCTGGTTGGACATGGCCCTCTGCCAGCACTGTGCCAGCGTCGGTGGCTTCTCCGCTGCAGTGTGGGTGCAGACCAGTCATCTGCTGCCCATACCCCACACAAAAATGGTGCGGCCATTGGTGCTCCCCTAGCAGGGCCACCCAGACCCCTGTCTTCTAGAATCCAGCTGTAGAGGACTCTTCCTGGGCACTGAGGACTTCTTCCAAATACAGGCCCAGCAGCCCATCCCAATCGGGTGGTGGCTGTCTGGGAGCCGGACAGGCTGGGTAGAGGGACTGAGGGAACACTGGGCCAGTGCCTGGGTGGACACTGACTCCAAGTGTCTTCTCTCCCCTGATCTAGCAAAAGCTGCACCATCGGGATGGTCCTGCGGCTTTGGAGCGACACGAAGATCCACCTGGATGGAGACGGGTAAGGACCGCTCAGAAAGACCCTCTCCCTGTCGGCGCTGAGGCCCGGCCGGCCGGCAGCCTGGGGTTGACTTTATTAGGAGGGTAGTGCTGGGGTCCAGGGAGCCCCAGGGGAGCATGCGTTCTGGGGGTTCTCTGAGGGAGCTCGGGTCAGGCAGCAGCGGGAGCCTGCAGCAGGTCGGCTGGGTGACGCTCAGGAGCAGCCGCCTGATGCCCCGCAGCCACTCCCCTTGGGCTCAATGCAGGGCCACCCTGACAGCTCCCAGAGGGGTGTGACGCAGCTGGAGCCCCTGTCTTGGGGTGCCAGGAAGACACCTGCCAGTTGGGGGACTTCAGAGGAGGACGCCAGGGGCCTGGGCAGGTAGACAGGGCTGGAGGCTCCAGGCACCTTCTCTCCTGGGGCAGCGAGGGCTCAGGATGCGTGGACAGGAGGGAGGCGGGCGGTCACTCCTGCACATGGATTCTAGGCTGCTGAAGCGGCTCCCTGGAGAGGGCTGGAAAGGACAGACATTCATTTAGTTGAAGTAGTGGGATCATAGGATACTTTTCCTTTTTAAAATTTTGTTTTCCATTAATATGTTTTCATGTAATTTAAAAAAAAATCAATGAGTGTGTGTGGTGCCAGAGGGAGCAGGTGGGCAGGGTCAGTTATGGAGACAGATGACACCAGGTGCTGTCCTGGCCCCGCATGGTGATGCACTTTGAGTTTTGGGAGTGTCACCCTGCTGGGTGGGGAGCACCCCCTCCTGGCTTGCCTTGGGCTCACCTCCCACCACGCCCCACGGTGGAGCGTGCTCCTCCCCAGTCCCTGGCTGCTCTGCAGCCGGCGGGGATCTGACCGCAGGGTCCGACCCTCCCCACAGCTGCCCTTCTTGTTCTCGTCCTCAGTGGGTTCAGCGTGAGCACGGCAGGGAGGATGCACATATTCAAGCCCGTGTCTGTCCAGGCCATGTGGTAAGTGTGTCTTCAAGGACCCCATCCCCTCGGCAGGGTGCTTCTAGCTGACACCACGAGCAGCAAGACCCCCATTCAGCACACACCTGTGATCCTGGGAGGCTGAGTCAAAGTTCAAAGCCAGCCTCAGCAACTTAGTGAGGGGCCTCACTAAGGAACTCAGCAAGACCCTGTCTCAAAAAATTAAAAAGGTTGGTCATGAAGCTCAGTGGTTAAGTGCCCCTTGGTACCAAAAAAAAAAAAAGAGAAAAGAAGAATGAAAAACTCCTTCTGAGGAACCTGTTGGGGAGGAGGAATGGCGAGGGTGGGCGGCATCACGGTATGTGATGTGCCTGTGAGGATCGCCACAGTGACACGTTGTTGGGATCACAGCCTGTATGACAGACATCACTAGTAAAGCAATGAAAGAGAAGCCCTGCTCTCCAGGGCCCGAGCTGGGGCGTGCCATTGGAACCATGTTTTAAGCATATAATTCGGCGGTGTAAAGCCTCTTCTCGGAGCTTTGTGGCCGTCCCCACTGCCCGTCTCTGGCCTTGGTCCTCATCACAGAGGGAGCACTGTGCTCGCTCCTCCTTCCCCAGGCCTGGCAACCCAGTGGGTTCGTCCTTTCTAGGAAATTCATAAGCAGAATCATCAATGTCCCTCTGTGTCCCACTTGCACTTAGCGTGCTGTTTTTAGGGTCATTCATGTTACCACGTCTGCAGAATTACGTTCTTTTTATAAGCTGAGTACTGTTCCCTATGTGAAGGCTCTGGTGGTGTTCACGCAGCCAGCTCCTGCCCACGGAGGGTCGGTTCAGCTGCATGACGGTTCCCATGAGGCCCTGCTTCCGTTCTTTTTGGTTTTTACCCAGAAGTGGAATTGCTAGGTCACGGGTGGCGTTGACTTTCTGGGAAAGCACCAGTTCTTCCCACCATGGCTGAGCCGCTCACATTCCCATCAGCAGAGCGCAGAGTTCCCATTTCTGCATTTCCTTATCACCTCCTGTCATTTATTTACCTGTTTATTGAGTCAGGGTCTTCGGATGTTGCCTAGCCTGGTCTTGAACTCCTGATCTTCCTGTCTCAGCCTCCTGGCGAACTGGGGTTATCAGTCATTTATCTTATTTTATTCTTTTAATTGGTTGTGTGGATGCATGTCTGTGTGTGTGGGAATTAAACCCAGGGCCTTACATGCTAGGCAGGTGCTTTACCACAGGGCTAAACCCTAATGCTTTCTATTTTATTTTTGAGCTAGGGTCTTGCTAATGCCAACGCTGGCCTTGAGCTTAAAACCCTCCTGCCTCATTCTCCAGGTAGCTTTGGTTATAAGAGTCTACCACCAGGCCCGTCTCACCAGTTTTTACATCTTATACTCACGGTCTTAGTAGCTGTGAGGTGGTACCTCACTGTGGTTTTGGTTTGTCTCCTGAGGATTCTTGAGCATTTTTCATGCACTTATTTCCCATTGGATGTCCTCATTGGAGGACTGTCTGTCCCAGTCCTTGGCCTAGGTTTTTCTATATTGTCATCTTGCCTCTCTCTATGGGCTCTTGGCAATAAAATATCACCTGGCATCACTCCACTTAATCCCTGTGCCTGGCGTGGAGTAGGTGCTCAGTGTGTGCAGTCGAAGAGCAGCACTTTGCTGGACGTGGAGCATCTGGTGGGAGTGGTCACAAGACTGACCTGTTGGGTTGGGGGCCACAGCACATGGACAAGTTACATGATACCTAGAGCGCTGGGCAGGTTCTCCCAGGTGTCGAGCCACTCCAGGGCCCAGGTCTGTGTGAGGCCGGGGCCTCCCCGGACACACCGCAGGGGCTGAAGGTGGCACTGGGCTGCTAGGTGCCTTGGAGCAGCTTGTCCTAGAGCCTTCCTCTCCGTTGGAGGGTCTCACTCCACAGGTGCAGCCTGCTCAGCCCAGCGCCTCTCTAGATGAGCTGGGAGAAGTTCAGGAGGGGCTAATGGCATCAGAGAGATGGGCTCTGCCCACGGTTCAGGATAACTGTGCTCTTCTCGGGCAGTGAGTTACGCAGAATTCTTCTGTGGGCCCCAGGTTAATGCCATGCCATGTGCTTTACCTCCTTTGTGACCACACCACAGTCGATTCAGGATTATTTTGGAGGGAAAAAATCATGAAATCGTAGTTCTGGTCAATAAACCAATACATGCCCCAGATGTCTCTGTGTGGCCCTAAATAATTTACATTCCAGGCAAATAAAAAATAGGCCCACGCGACTTTTCAAAAACCCTGGCACCAGAACTAAATTTAGTAACATTCATCTCAGGTTGATCTCCTCAGCCAGCCTGGGGACAGTGGGCCAGACTGGGTGTCTTATACCCGAGACAGGGTCACTCTGGCAGTTCCCCTTCAGGGCCTCTGCCACCCTTTGCTGGTTCCTAACTTGCCCCACTGCGGAGGACCTTCGGTCTGGGCTCCTGGTGGACGAGGTGAATTGCACTGTCAGTGTCCCTGTTTCTGCCCCTCCGCCCCCCACACCTCCTCTTCCTCTGGCTTCCGCGTCCAAATAGCTGCTCCATGCCTGTCCTCAGGGAGCCTCCCTCTGAGTGATGGTCACGTGGAGGGCGACCATGTGGGACGCAGCCAGATTTCCTTCCTGTGGTCCCCACACTCGGGGTCACTGTGACTTCCGAGGTCACCCGTGATTCTGTGGTTAATCAGTGGAATGTAAAGCAGCGTGTGGCCCGTGTGTTTGGGAGTCGGGAAATTTGGGCTTGACTTTCGTCCTGTGGTGCTGGTGGAGCCAGGGCCCTGCACGTGCTCCACTGAGGCACCTCCCGCCCCTGGGTTTCTGTTCTGGTCTGTCTTTCCCTGTTTCTGGACAGTGAAGGACATTCCCCCACTGTGGGCTCAGGAGAGGTGAATGTGCAGAGGCTAGATCTGGGACCTAGCAGCTGTCTGTCTCCGGCTCCCACGTGTCACCCACACGCCCTCATATGTAAGCAGGACTCCAGGAGCTAAGTCCTCGTGAGCTGGCCACGCCTGCCCTAGTGAGCCCTCCTGGAAAGGCAGTCCATGCTTCTCCTGGTGTCCTGACCCGGCCTTCTCCCACCCAGGTCTGCCCTGCAGGTGCTCCACAAGGCCTGCGAGGTGGCCCGAAGACACAACTACTTCCCAGGGGGTGTGGCGCTCATCTGGGCCACCTACTACGAGAGCTGCATCAGCTCCGAGCAGAGCTGCATCAACGAGTGGAACGCCATGCAGGACCTGGAGTCCACGCGGCCCGACTCCCCAGCCCTGTTTGTGGACAAGTATGTGCGGCACCTGCCCAAACACCTCCCTGCAGCCCTGGGCCAAGCGTTCCCTTCCCAGAACCAGCTTCTAAAATGTGGCTTCTAGGAGCCGGGCATTTTGGTGCAGCCTGTCATCCCAGCAGCTCAGGAGGCTGAGGCAGGAGGATGGCGAGCTCAAAGCCAGCCTCAGCAACAGTGAGGCCCTAAGCAACTCAGTGAGACCCTGTCTCTAGATAAAATACAAAATAAGGCTGGGGTGTGGCTCAGTGGTTGAGGGCCCTGAGTTCAATCCCCAGTACCAAAAAAACAAAACAGCTTCTAACCTGGGACCCCGGGAAGCCTGGCTTTGGGGAGAGTTTGTGACACACCTTAAAAATCAGACGAATTTGGGGAGTGCACTTCTGGGGAACGAGTCCTCGTTTCCATCAAACCCCCAAGGGAATGAGCTGCCCTGCTCACCCCTCCTGGGTGATGCTCTGCGCCTGGGCCTTTCCTCTGTCGGTTGCAGTTCCTTAAGTCCCGAAAGCCACTTCCTCTGCTCCAGGAGAGTCATGAATGTGACCCCTGCTTCCTTGGGTCCTTCTGTCCCGAGGGCAGCACCCATTCGCAGCAGGGACAGTGAAGCACGTGGCCTTCGTGTGGCCGCTGGCGCACCACTGGGCCTGAGGCCACGCTCTTTAGAGTCTGATTTGAGAGGGGAGCTGTTCCCTCCTGGGTCAGGGCCCACTCCCCTGCGTGTTGTGTCCCTGGGACGCTGCATTCTGAGGACTGTGTACAGAGCAGAGTGGCCCAGATGACTGGAGGCCACGAGGAAATGGAAGGGACGGGGAGAAGGATCATAGCTTAGGGATTTCTCGGGGCCTCCTGGGAAGAAGGGTCACCCTGGTTCATGTGGCCCAAGAGCTGTTCATGCTAGGCTGGGCTGTGGCGGAGGCTGGGCTGGGAGGCCTGGACCTTCACTGTGAGGAGGAGGTGAGGAGCACGGCCGCCGAGGCCACCCACCTCCTGTGGCCAGGCAGAGGCAGAGACGCAGTGGTGTGGGACTGCTCCCCTGGCAGGTCCAGAGTCCTGCTCTGAGAGTCTGTGACCCCGACGTGGGGCCGAGCGAGTGGGTTTCCAACCCTCCCAATGGGCTGTCCAGGCGGCGCCAGTGCCTCTGTGACCCGAGAACATGCACACCTAGAGCCGACCTCGCTAGTCCCTGCCACAGCTGCTGTTCCTGCGACCTGGGACCTGAGCGTCCGTAGCCGTGCACCTTCCTAAAGGGCATTTCTCTCCAGGCCAACTGAAGGGGAGAGGACGGAGCGCCTCATCAAAGCCAAGCTGCGGAGCATCATGATGAGCCAGGATCTCGAAAACGTCACCTCCAAGGAAGTAAGAGCCCTCTTCCCAGAGCGCCTTCCCCGGCCGGGGGCAGGCAGCAGCAGCAGGCCAGGACCTGTCCCCAGACACACTCCCCTCGGCTTCCTTCTGCCCTGGCAGCAGGGCTCAGTGGGAGGTCGCAGGGCCACCATTTACTCTCTGTGGGGCGTGGACATGTTTCTGGAGTCCCCGGAGCCTCGCCTGTGTCACCTTTGGTCACGATTCCATGAGGTGCTTGGTTTGCACCCGGAGCGTGTAGCTTAGGCCCTCTCCCTCTCCGCCCCCGCTGCCCTGTGTTGTACGTGAGACCAGCTGACTTCTTCCTGCTCGGGATTGCAGCCGACCAGCAAGGTGTCTTCTGTCTGCCTTTTAATGTTTTCCTGGATCTCTTTTAAAATTTTGTCTGTTGCTTTTTATCTGTTGTTCAAGGAATGCAATGAATTATGGTAACAGCTTAAACTAGATATTTTCTTTCTTCTTTTTTTAGTACTAGGGATTGAATCCCATGTGTTAGGCAAGCACTCTACCACTGAGCTACATCCGTAGCCCCCTTTTTAAATTCTTATTTTTGACATGGAATCTTGCTGAATTGCCCAGCCTGGCCTCAAACTTGCAATCCTACTGCCTCAGCCTCCCAAATCACTGGGATTACAGGTGTGCACCATTGTACCTGGCTCAGTTAATATGTTTTCAAAAATCGTGTGGTGATGCCTTCCCAAGCAAGAAGAAACTGACTTTAGGTTCTCATTAAGAAGTGTTTTGTTATTTAATTGTTAAAGTATAAGTGGTTGGCCAGGCACAGTGGTGCACGCCTGTAATCCCAGTGGCTCAGGAGGCTGAGGCAGGAGGATCGAGAATTCAAAGCCAGCCTCAGCAAGTTAGCAAGGCTCTAAGCAACTCAGCAAGACCCTGTCTCTAAATAAAATATTAAAAAGGGCTGGGGGTGTGGTTTAGTGGTTAAGCACCCCAGGTTCAATCTCTGGTACAAAAAAAAAAGCAAGTGCTTCAAACTCAGAAAAGATCCCTTGGAAATCACATTCCTCATTCAAAATAATAAACGCCCCCCAGTAGGGTTTACCTGGAGGCTGGATGATCCACATCCCTCCCACCACACCTGGGTGCTGTGGATGCCTTCCTCTGGACACAAAAAAGAAAAATGCACCCTTTTTGAAAACTGCTTCAGTTTGTTTAAATTAATCACGTTTAAAGCTAATTATGACTTAATTGTTTGGAGGTTGGCAACGTTTTTTTTTTTTTTTTTTTTTTTAACAAATCACTTTTCCTGACGTTCCCACACCACAGATCCGTAATGAGCTGGAGAAACAGATGAACTGCAACCTGAAAGAGTTCAAGGAGTTCATAGACAACGAGATGCTGCTCATCCTGGGGCAGATGGACAAGCCCTCCCTCATCTTCGACCACCTTTATCTCGTAAGAGGCACAGCCGTGGCAGTACTCGGTCTGGGGTCATAAGGCAGACCTCCTGGTCTGGCACTCGCAGCAGGTCGGAGGGAGGAGGCAGGCAGGGTGCCTGCTCAGGCAGCCCCACCCTGGCCCGGACCCCCTTGCCCAGCTGCAGCCTGTGGTCTGTCCTGCCGGGTGTCTGAGAAGTGGCTCAGCTGAGCTGCGGGGACTGGTCTGGGCACACCTGGCAGTCACCTGGCAAGTGTCTTCAGACCCTCGGGGCCCTCTGTCTTCAGTCACTAACACACAGGCCCCACCCAGATACCCTCAAATGGTTCATGGGCCATGAAAACCCAGCTGGTGGTGGGCATGTGCCCACTGAGCATCCCCAGCGGGGCAGGATGGTGCTGACGGCTCCTCCACTGCTCTGCCCGCAGCCCATCAGGAGAGTCGCCTGGTCATGGAGGCTCTGCACACGGTGTGCAGACTCCCCGCCCCTCCAGCCCCTGCTCCCGGGTCCCCACGCCGTGAGTCTCCAGAGAAGGCAGCTGGCCAGTGCTCAGCGTCTGGGACTCTGGAGGACGGCCTTGCTAAAATTAGACGGGAGGCCGTGGTGGAATGCAAGTCGGCCCAGAGGGCCGGGTCCCCTCCTGCCTCACCTGCTGTGTGACCTGGAGCGAGTCTCTTTTCCCTCTTTTTCTGCATCCTTCATGATTGTGAGGATTCAGTAAGATGCCTCTTGAAGGCACTGAGCACGTTCCCTTGGACACTGTTGTACACAGCCATGAATTGAGGAAAAGCGCTCCCGGGAGGCCAAGGGGGGGGTCCTGCTGCAGACGCAGTGGCTGCTCCCCGCCTGCAGGAGTTGCCTGAGCTCTGTGTCTGTCAGGATAGCTGGAGAAGGCGCGGTGCTCACAGGACTGACCCTTCCTGTGCCGGTGGGCTTCCTATTTGTGTATTTGGACAAGTGACGGGTGACAAGGGGCTCTGCCTGGGAAGGTCCAAGGGAATGCAGGGCCCTGACCCTGTCCTGGTGAAACTGACATGGGCCACTCCCCCTGTGTCTCCACAGGTGGTGGTCACAGCTAGGGGGTGCTCATGGCCTTCTCAGAGCCGTGGTTATTTTTTCGGTGTGGTTTGGTACTTTATGTCACTTTTTCCATGAGAGATATTAAAGGAATTTTTATGGTTGAGACTCCGTCAAATACCAGAGTGCAGCCGCCCCGCACACGGCCAGCCGGGCCCCACCCTGGAGGGCCGACCAGGAGCTCAGGACAGGGGCATCAAGGAGACTGAGCCCTGGGTGCCTCTGCCCTCTGTGACTCTGCGTCCTCCAAGTCACCTAAGAACAAAGTGATCATTTTTGCTTTTATTCCCTTTCATGTTATTTGTGTGTCACAGGGTTCATTTTTGAATGATGGCATTTTTAAAGTATTAAAAAGAATTAAATGAACACGTTGTAGGAAGTTGGAAAAATAAATCCGTCTAAAGAAGAAACAAGCACTCCTACACCAGAGCTGGTCTCTGAGCAGTCTGCGTCCACTTCCCATCCCTCTGTGTTTGGGGCGTCTGTCTGGGGTTTTTTGGGCTGGGCCTCTTTCACGCCTCCCAGCGTTTCAAACACGAGGAGGGAGATGGTCACACGGTCAATGTGCCCCTGTGCCCTGCTTTCCTTTGTATTTTTTGTTTTCCTCACGTGGTATTTCCCTGGGCCAAAGAACAGCCTCCTAAAGGCCGCTCGTCTTGAGGGCCCTGTTGTAAGGAGATCACTGTTCTGTCGGCCTCTTCCTGTTGGACCTGTGGGATGTCACCACTGTTCCGCCGTCGTCCGTCTCTGAGTTGTGACCGTTTCCTCAGGGAGCTTTTTGTAGGTGGAATTACTGGGTCACAGGTTAGGAACGTCCAAACTATTGCCAGAATGCTTCCCAGAGAAGGGACACGATGCCTACTGTCCTTAGTGGTGAGGAGGTCATGGTCCCGGCCTCCGTGACAGGGCCCCACCATGGTCCCCAGGAAGGAAGCAGTTTCCCGGACTCACTCTCTCCCCAAGGCCAAGGGCCACACTCCCCCTCCCTGTTACCTCTTGATCTGTGAGGGCCTTGGGCAGCTCCGGGGCTACCTGCTACACTCACGGGGTTTGTGTGATCTGTCCCCCAGGGCTCTGAATGGAATGCGTCCAATCTGGAGGAGCTGCAGGGCTCAGGGTGAGTCTGCTCCGCTTGTCTTCCCCGTCCTTCCAGGCAGCTTGGGACGCCTGCCTCTATTGCCGAGGTGGCCCGGCTCCCCTCTAATTGCCTGCACCCTGGTCTCTGAACTGGCTGGAGGGGCTGATTTGCATAGCTAAACAGATGTGCTTCAAAATGCCATGTTCTGAATAATTCATGGATCTGAGATCTTATGGAGTCTGTGATTGTGTGGGTCACGAGCAGCCTCCTCAATCACACTCCGGTGGCACGTCCAAGAGCCTAGACCCCACAGGCCCTGGACTCCCGCTGCTCCTTACATGGCCGCACATCTCTGTGGGCTGTCAGGCCACTCAGCAGCCCTGACACACCTGGCCCATTCCTGGTTCTGTTGGAGGTTACACCTCTGGGCCTGGTGGGAATCTTGCAGCTCAGCAGCCAGGGTCTCTGAGAATGCTCAGCAATGAGGGTGAAAAATGTTTAAACCTAGACCTTCAAGAACAGATGTCTGCACTTTTTAAAAACAAAACAAAACAAAACAAAAAAAACAGCACAGCCACAAAATCACCATTCTCTGGGTCTGACATGATGGCATTCTTAAATTACCACATTTGAAAACCAAGACTAAACAAATCTTAAAATATATCTTTAGAACTACTGGTTAAGATGGGTTCTTTCAACCGAGTATTCTTCAAATGTGGCCTGGGACTCTCTGTGCTTCTGTCTTGCTGAGAATCAATAGATGACTCTTAAAGCTCTTCGAGTGCATGATACGTATTCACTTAGGAAACTGATTTGAGATGTTTTCTAACTCCTGAAATTATTTTGGTCTTTTAGAAGTGAAAATACTGATTAGGTTAGAGAACTACAGAATCTGGGTCAGCAGACTCCTCATTCTTATTTATTTATATCTTGCCTTGTTTCAAAAGGCTTTAAGACTGTTCCCAAGAACTTAAATAATGGATGGTTTTATTCTGCTTTGTTTTTTTTTTTTTTTTTTGAGAGAGAGAATTTTTTTTTTTAATATTTATTTTTCAGTTCTTGGCAGACACAACATCTTTGTTTGTATGTGGTGCTGAGGATCGAACCCGGGCCGCACGCATGCCAGGCGAGTGCGCTACCACTTGAGCCACATCCCCAGCCCCGGGAGATTGTTTTTTTAATACCACTGTATACCACTGATAGTTATAAATTTTGAAACTTTAAGGAATTTAGAAATGTATTTAAGAGACATGTTTACTTTCCATAGTTAAGATTGCTAAGCAATGCTTCAGTGCTTCAAACTGAGTTTTCTTTTTTATAAGACCTTTCTAATCAAGGTACTTTTTGGTTTTGTGTGTATATGTATAATACAATCTCATTTTGTACAGGAAATACAAAAAAAAAAAAATTCCCAGTGCTGATGACTGAACACAAGGCACCCTACCACTGAGCTATACCCCCACCCTTTTCTATTTTGAGACAGGGTCTCACTGAGTTGCCCAGGCTGGCCTTGAACTTGCCATCCTCCTGCCTCAGCCTCCTGAATCTTGGGGATTGCAGGCAAGCGCCAGTGCACCTGACAGAAATTCAATATCAAGGAAAAGCAGACGTCCCACCAGGAGCATGTGCCTCATGTGTATTTCTTTTTCTCTGCTGGTGTTGTGTTGCTTTATTTTCCTGGTCCCTCCTTCTCATCCTCCACTTTTTCTCTGTCTCATTGCAGGGTTGACTACATTTTAAATGTCACTCGAGAAATAGACAATTTTTTCCCTGGCCTCTTTGCATATCATAACATCCGAGTGTACGACGAGGAGACCACGGACCTCCTTGCCCACTGGAACGAAGCATATCACTTTATAAACAAAGCCAAGTAAGTGGGCGGGGCCTGGTCCCAGGGGGCGTGGCTCCGTAGGGTGAGGGGCTGGGCGGCCGCGAGGCTGCTGGCTGAGGACGCCTTCTTGTCCGGGGCACTTTTGGTGTTGGCTGCAGAACCCCAGGCACCAGAGGGGACAGTGGGTGTTGATCCCCTCCGGGTGGCTCCCTGGCAAGTTCCTTCTGTCCTGGTGGCATGACCCTGTTGTCATCTGTGTTGTTCTAGGCAAGGACTCAGCACCAAGTGCATGTGGAAGCTTCCCCTGGGGGGGGGGGAGGGTTCCCTCAGGGCTCCGTGCGACTCCCCAAGTCAGGTGTTCCTGTGTGCCTAGCACAGGCGACAGGGGGGCCGGCCCGCTGCCCCTAGACAGGGTTCCCACCATGTTCCCACCCTCCTTCTGTCCACACCTTATTCCCCTGCAGAACAGCTGTCTTACTGAGAGAGCTCACCCTTGGAGATGCTCTCAGCCAGAGCTGCACGTCCGTCCTTACCAAGTCCTCGCTCTCTTTAAGCCTGGGGTGCAGGAAACAGCACCTGCTCCCCCGGGGTCATCTACTGGACTGATTAGTTCAGCCCCTACAGCCTGGTGTCCCCAGGTGTTCTCCAAGGTGATGTGTAGAGTGTCCCAGTTCCTGGCCCTTCTGTAGCTGTCACTTAGCCGCACCTGGGCCTGAGCTGCCTCCTGGCCCGCGGCAGGTCGGCCCATCTCTGTCTTGGCCGAGCTCTGCTCTTCTTGCCCCTGGGCCTGTGTCCGGGGAGCATCTCATTCTCCCCGTGCAGTTCCACTTGGCTGACCCCGTTCTCTACAGCAGCTCATTCACTGTCTGTGTTTGCGGGAGCGGCTAAGTGGCTTGTGTGGCCATCTGCTTAGCTGCCCGGTCCTTCCCAGGAAAGGGCTTTCTGTGGCCAGCCTGTCCCAGTAACTACAGGGTCCACTTCATGTCTGAAAGCAGCTGCTTTTGGAGCTGTCCCGCAGCAGGCCAGGGCCAGTTGACCCTGACTTCCTCCTGTGTGCTAGTCGGTTTTGCAGCCGAGTTATTTCCCTTAGAGGGCGTATGGAATCTGCTCCCTGACATTCCAACGGGATTTGCGCCACGAGACAACTTCGGGGCTTAAAAATTCAGTGGGTAAAGCCCAGAGAATGCAGTTGCTGAAGACTCCAGTCCTTTGCTCACACCACTCCCTCCCCTGCAGGCGGAACCACTCCAAGTGCCTGGTCCATTGCAAAATGGGGGTCAGCCGCTCGGCGTCCACCGTCATCGCCTATGCCATGAAGGAGTTCGGCTGGCCCCTGGAGAAAGCCTACAACTACGTGAAGCAAAAGCGAAGCGTCACACGGCCCAACGCAGGCTTCATGAGGCAGCTGTCTGAGTACGAAGGCATCCTGGACGCAAGGTGGGTGCCCCCTGGAGAGTGGGGGCGGGGCAGACTGAGCACAGCGCCCTGTGGCCACGCTGGCCAGCCTGCTCTGCATCCCATAGTTCTCCCGTTGGCCAGCGGCTGGGCCAGCGGCTGTGCAGGGGGAGCTGGCTTGAGAGAAATGCCATTGTTTGGGCTTTGATGAGTAATTTCCAGGAGGGATCTGTTTTGGTTTTATTGGAGCACACACAAAGCTTGTTTTGCTACTGGAGGGAATGGGACCTAACTTCCCATCCAGGGTCCGGCCTGCTGCATGGTGGGCATGTGCCTGTCCTGTTTCCTGAGCACCTGCTTTGTGCCAAGGCCTGTGAGCCAGTCTCCCAGCAAGGCCACCCCAGGACAGCACTGGTGACTGGCCAGGTTCCACCACCGGCCAGCTGGGTGATCAGGGAGGCTGGTCAATCTCCCTGGGCCTCAGCACCCTTGTCTGAGCTAAGAGCTAATCCCACCTGAATGTCGCTGCCACAGGCTGTGGTTGTCCCTTAGAAAATGAAAAGGGTAGTCCCTATAGGTCCAGCAGATCACAGAAGGACTGAAAGCCGAGACTCGAAGATTTCTACCCTCAGGGCAGCAGCATTATCCTGGGTGGCCAAAAGGTGGGGGCAGACCGGGGGTCTTCAGCTGGAGAGCGTATAAGTACGTGGAACATCTCTGTCTTACAGCCGAAGGCAAGGGTAGCTGGGTGAGGTGGCAGACGCCACCAGGAAAGGGCTTTCTGTGTACTGGAGGCCGAGCGGGCAGGTCCTTGGAGCCCAGGAGTTCAGGGGCAGCCTGGATACCATAGCAAGGCCTCACTCAGTTAGCAACGATCACACCTCAGAGAAACCTCTTTGGCTACGAAGCTGCCACTGCACAAAGCCACAGAGCTGTCTCAGAAAGAAAAAAGAAGGAAAGAAATGCTGGCACCTTCTACAGTCTGGGTGGACCTTGGGGCATCATGAGTGAGACAGGCCAGTCACAGGAAGGCATTCTTTCCATTCTGCAGAACCCCATTTGTAAGTGGCCCAGAGTGGTCAGATCTGAAGAGAAAAGCTGGGATCCTGGTGGCAGGGGCTGGGGAGGACAGTGCCATGTTTACTGGGTGTGGCATTTGAGTCTTGTAAGGTGACAGGAACTGCGGAGCAGATGGGGGTGGTGACTGCAGGGCCAGGGACATGGCTGACACAGCTGAGTGGGACACTCCGGATGGTCAGGTGGCAGGGTGTAGGGTTCTCTTAAAGCGTTAGAAATTGTCCTGTGATCTCTGACCTGCACAGGTATCCACGATTTCCTGGGACCTTTCCAATCATTTTCATGTGTTTCCTGTGGACGTAGTTCTGTCGGTCAGTCAAGCTCCAGTACTTTCTGCCCTGACCTCCTTGATGTCCTTGCAGTGTGGGTGGGAGGGGGAGTGTTCTCCTGCCACAGAGAAACCTAAGTGGCACGATTACGCTCATACGGTGAGCAGGGACCAAACACCGGGTCAGTTACCAGTCAGGCCGCCTTGGCATGTCCTCCATCCCCTGGTACAGGCACCTGCGTGTGCGGCTTCCAGTGCATCCGTGGTGACTCAGAGTCCTCGCACATCTTGACAGTGATAGTGAGAAGCATGACCTAAGCAAGACAGAGCCAGCCCAGCACCCCGCTGACCTTGGACTCTGCCCGCCGTCCCCCACCAGGACCTCTGGGTGCTGTCCCCCACGCTCACCTTGCTCTGCCCTCTCTCCTCGCAGCAAACAGCGGCACAACAAGCTGTGGGGCCAGCAGGCGGACAGCAGCCTCCAGCCGCCTCCCGAAGACCCTCCAGAGCCTGGCGACTTCCTGACGGAGACCCTGGACGGCACTCCTGATGTCCCGCTGCCCTGCTTGGACAATGCTGCCCAGCTCAGGCTCCACGGAAGCCGGGCCCCAGGAGGACCCGCTCTCCCCTGCTGTTTCCGGAGGCTCTCAGACCCCCTCCTGCCTCCCCCTCCTGAGGACGCCGGCAGCGTGGTGCACCTGGAGGACCTCGAGAGGGACGCTGTCTTGGAGGAAGAGGCTTCGCCCGCCAGACACCCCCAGGATGGCGCTGGATTCTGCGAGAAGGATGTGAAGAAGAAACTAGAGTTTGGGAGCCCCAAACCCCGGAGTGGCCCCTTGCCCCAGGTGGAGGAGATGGAGAGGGAGGAGGGCCCGGGCCCAGGGAGATGGGGGCGGCCCGCGGCCCAGCCTGAGCGGGGCCTCCTGGAGCGCGGCAACCTCAACAACAATAACAGCAAGAGGAGCTGCCCCCAGGACTTGGAGGTAGGTGGGGCGGTGACTCTGGGGGGAGGCAGCGTGACCCGCCGAGTGACTCGGGGTCCTTGGGGAACAACCTGCACCCCTGCAGCCGTCTTTGCCCCAGGCACCTCATTGGCACCTGGAGCAGGGCCGCAAACTCAGGTTCTTTTTCCTTATGTAAAATGTAAAACAACCTGTCGCCCACTTCACTGAGCCAAGGCAGAGCTCTTCTCCTGTCGCCTCACCCTCCCACACCTCCTCCCTCGGGACTGTTTTGAAACAAGTTCCCGAGGTGTCATCATTGCTAAGTCTCTCGTGTGTAGCAGAGCCACAACACTGTCACCCCCTTTAAATGTGCCTGACATCTTCAGGCGTCTGATCTTCAGTTCTCGTCCCAGTGCGTGACACCAGTGCCACTGTCTCCGCAGCTGTGGTACTTGGTGGATCATATGGAACACAGCTGACCTCAGCCCGGCTCTCTCTCAAGTCACCCCTGATTCCGCTCCGTCTCCCTGCGCCCTCAGTGGGCAGCAGCCCAGGAGTGGGGTCTGGCTTATTGGAGGGGTGCAGTTGGCAAACTCCAAATCAAAAAACATACCCCCAACCAGGTAGGATTCCAGGTCCCCCCACACTCACGACTCCCCTCAGAGAGGAAACACGCATCAAGACAGGCAGCATGGGACCACTCTGCAGGACACTGTGCCACCAGTCGGCTCGCATGGTGCTAAGTCACTGGCCCAAGAAGGGGAGGGGCTTAGATGAGAGCGTGGATTGTGAATGTGACATCATCTAGGAAACAGGACCTCCAGAACCCCGAGACGTGCATCCATTCCTGTGTCTGACCCCCACTTACCATGGTGCCTGGCCAGCCTGGGGTAGGGCGCACTCCGATGGCCCCCACACACCTGCAGCTCAGCGGGGCGAATGGAGGGTGAACACAAAGGGATGTGGCGAGGTGTGCCACAGGCGCTCAGCATGCCGACAGACGGGCTGTGGCCTGACGGAGGGGAGCAGCTGTGCAGGGAGCCAGGGGAGGGACTTCATGTGGCAATCCTGGCCCCTGCATACCTGCTGAGCCCACTCTGTGCCCCATTGACTCTGAAAGGTGCCCTCACACCTGCTCCCAGCCCTCCACAGTAGATTTCCTTGCAGATGTGAGAAGAAAGAACATGGGAGCACTTTGGTTAGAGCTTAAGAGAAAATTCTGGTTCAAGAATTAGGCCTCGTTATGGTGAGAGTCCCTGAGATTGTCAGACTGAGGGTTGACTGGTGGACCAAGCCCACCCAGGGTTCCTGGCAGAGAGACATCCTCTAGGAGGGCCCGCTCCCATGCCCACCGCACATCCCCTGCAGCCCCCAGGGCAGGGCCGGGCCTCCTCCAGTGCTGGCCACCAGGACTTCCTGTCTTGGGAAACTGAGTCTGCGCAGCTCTGGAGGTTCAGGGAGAAGCCCTCCTCCCGTGAGCGCCTCCTCCAGCCCTCGGCCTGGAGGGCTTCATTTCAGACCATTCCAGAACTCTCGTGGGGCAGAGTGCTGGTCCCCTCGCCTGCCCTCCATCTCCCTGCCTCCACCTCAGCCCAGAAGAGCAACTCCCAACCAGTCAGTCCTTTGGCACTTGAGCCGGTGAAGGGTGGCCCCACCTGGCAGAAGACTCCGCATAGCAGAGGGTTTCCCTGGGAAACAGCGTGAACGACATCTTCTGTGGGTCTGGCTGGGCCTGGAGGCACCTGTGTCTAGGTCTGGGTTGGGGTCTCCAAATGCTGTCTTTGCCCTTTGCCCCCTCTCTTGTGGAGACTGACTAGAGCCGTTCCTTTAGCTGGGCTGGACAGGAAGGGCTCCATCCAGGGGCTGCGTGCTCCCCAAATGCAAATTATTTCTGCAAGGGGAAGACCCCCGGCTCTGCTTCTGCAGCCGACTCGCTATTTCACTTCGTTCTAAGTGCCGTGAGCTGGTACTGAGCAGGGTAGGTGCCTTACTTCCCCGGGACACCACAGCCTGGCCAAGAGGCACCCTGTGCAGGTGAGAAGGGAGGTTCCGGAGGCCCTGCCTCAACCCTTGTGGCCATGCGACCCACGCCCAGGAGCTTGGACCTTGGCTTCTGGGTCTTGGTTCTGTGTCTCTGAGGCTTCTCTGACCTGCGTCGTCACAGTCAGGCGGGTTCCAGGAGTTCTGTTTCCCACTGACTGCAGTGAAGGGGTACCCCTCCAGGGTCTGCCCTTGCGCATCGCCTGCCCTCCTCCTGTATCTGGTCCCTGGTTCACGGTGCTCCGTCTCACAGTGTTCTTGTCCCCTTGCAGCACGATGCTATGTTTGGGATCCTGAACAAAGTGAAGCCATCCTATAAATCCTGTGCCGATTGCATGTACCCTGCAGCCAGCGGAGCTCCCGAGGCCTTCAGGGATTGGTGTGAGGACCCAGGTGCTCCCGCCATCTGCACCCAGCCAGCCTTCCTGCCCCACCTCACATCCTCCCCTGCAGCCCACATGTCCAGCAGGTCCCGAGGTCTGGAGAAGCTGGCCTCTGGCGTGGCTGACGCGCCCTCCTTCCTACCGCCAGCAGGTTCCAGAAGACCTGATGCCAGCAGCTCCGGAGCCACAGCTGCTCCGGAGCTAACAGGTAGCATTTCAGAACCTTCTAGAGAGACCCCCAGAGTCCTGCCAAAGTCCCTCCTATTGAAGAATTCTCACTGTGACAAGAACCCTCCCAGCATGGAAGTGGTGAAGGAAGAACTGTCACCCAAGAAAGATCTCAAGCCTGCAAAGGACCTGAGGCTTCTGTTCAGTAGCGAATCCGAGAAGCCCACGACCAACAGCTACTTGATGCAGCACCAGGAATCCATCATCCAGCTGCAGAAGGCCGGCCTGGTCCGCAAGCACACCAAGGAGCTGGAGAGGCTGAAGAGCCTGCCCGCAGATAGCGCCCCCGGCCGGCTGGAGGCCAGCATACCCGAGGAGAGCCAGGAGCCTGGGCCCCCAGCTCTGCCCGGCCACGCGGGGGGTGACGAGAAGCCAGAAGCTGCCCCCCAACCCGTGGAAGGAGCCTCGCTGAAGAGCCCCCCGCCCCTCCCCTGCCGCCTGGACCACTCCAGCACCTTCTCCAGAGACTTCCTGAGGACCATCTGCCACACCCCCACCTCCTCGTCCCTCAGCTCCAACATGACCCGCAGCTCCAGCAGTGACAGCATCCACAGCGTCCGTGGGAAGCCAGGGCTGGTGAAGCAGCGGACGCAGGAGATCGAGACGCGGCTGCGGCTGGCCGGCCTCACCGTGTCGTCCCCCCTCAAGCGCTCCCACTCTCTTGCCAAGCTCGGGAGCCTCAACTTCTCCACAGAGGACCTGTCCAGCGAGGCGGACGCCTCCACCCTCGCCGACTCCCAAGACGCCAAGTGGAGCGAACCCTCCTGCCTGCTCGACCCCCAGGCCGTCCCCAGGAACCCGGCCTCCAAGCCATCAGGGAAATGCGCCCCAGGAAACTTGAACAGCCCCTCCTGGGTGAGCAAAAGCTGACCCACGACAGAGTCTCACAGGATCCCTCCCTTGTCCCTCGTGGGTTTTGACCCCCCTCTTACATCTTGATCTGTCTTAAAGAACCCAAGTCACCTGAACCTCCCGCTCTTGCCATAGAGAGGAGGAGACATGGCAGTACAGGAAGGAAGGGGAGGTGCCGGGTGCCGGGATTTGTCAGAGACGCGGAACTCTGTCCCCAAGTCCCGGCTCTGAGAAGAGTGCCGAATCCAGAAGAGCACGTTCAGATATGCACACATCCAAAATGTTTTATTGCAACATGCAAAAGAGGAGTCATGGTGACGCCACCGTCCCCGTGGCCCACATTCCCAGCTCATCCCACCCTCAGAGACACTCGAGATGGCAGCCTAGTCCTACCTCTGTTCTCGCTGTGCTTTTTGTTTTTTAAATACGATGATTCCCAGGGCTCATCCCAGGGAATGCTGCTGCTGTCAGAAAGGGGTTTCCAGGGATTGGCTTCCTTTGGTGGGTACCCCAAGAGCACCACCCGCCCTGGCTCTGGTGCAGCTGATGGGCATTGGGTCAGCACTGGGGTCAGTTGGGGGAAGTGTGCAATTCCCTCAGCGCCCCTATTTCAGGGACGAGGACCCCAGACCGCTGCTTCTCTGTTCCTCCTGCTGAACTGGGTGTGGTGGGGTTGGGGAAGGGCTGGGGCTGCGGTTCTGGGAGGTGGATCCTCCCAGGAGCCCACCCCTCAGGGTTGTTGGGTCCCATTTTCCAATGTTTGGAAAGGGAAGGGATTTTGGGGGCAGAGACCTCTCCTGGGTCCTGCTCCAGGAGCTACTCATTGCAGCTTCTCTGAGAGGATGCGACCTGGGAAGGACAGGGAAGAGCCTCAGTGTCTTCAGTCGCCACTTCCTGTGGGGAGAACTGCTTCCTGTCTTTCCAGTTCTCCGGCAGAGGCAGTGACAGCCCAAGTCTCCTTGGGCTCCGCTCTGGGCAACGCCTTGAGGAATCAGGTGAGCTCAGCAGGGCGTGTGACCAGGTCTGGGCTGGGTCCCCAAGTGAGGAAGATGCGGGGACAGCCTGAAGAGAGAGAAGCAGCTTGGGAGCGAGGCGGGGTTGGTGTGCAGCCCCGGTCAGCTGAGAAGGGCTTTTACATTCTCTAGGGGTTGAGAGACAAGACACTAATGGCAGCAGGCACCTGTGGCCCACGAAGCCCTGGGTGGTACCGCCAGACCCTTCGTGGAAGTCGCCCACCCTGGTTTTATATGATGACACCGGGCAGCCCATGACCCTGTAGGAAAAAGTGGGACAAATTGGAAGTCCTCCTCTGGCTCTTGGACACCTCAAGCCAAACCCTCCCCCGTCTGTACCCCAGGCCTCACCGCCCACCCCCACCAGGGTCCCCCATGGAAGATGGAGGAGTGTGTGGTGGGGGGATCACGGACGCTCCCCGCAGTTCCATCTTGCCCTCGACAGGATCATCTGGATTAGCTCAGTGAGACCCAAAGCCTTCAGGACAGGCAGCCCCCAAAGCAGATGCGTGAGTCGCCATCTCCTGTTGGTGGGAACGGCCCCAGAGCGGCTGTGCTGGAGGAGACCTGGCGGGTTCAGGGTCCAGGCAGGTCTAACTCCCCTGGGACACAGGGTTCTGCAGACACCCTCTCCAGGGACTCTCTTCCAGCTGCGTGATGTTTTTTGCAGTCTGCTGTTTTACTTTGTAGGGTTCCCCCCACCCCCGCCCGGCCCACTACTGTCAGTTAAAGTCACTTAAAAAGGTGATTATCCACTTACATTTGAAACCGTGTGGGGTTTCCCCTCATCCTCAGCCAACAAAAGCATAAAAAAAAAAATACCGAGTTCAATATGTTTTGCCACACACGCAGTAGATCAAGTTTTGTGTCAACATGATTCTTTAGATTTGGCAATGGTAGGCTTTTGTTGGTTTTTTATCACCTCCGTAGAGGACAGTAATATGTTTTTGAAAACTTAAATTTTGAAAGCCATAATTTTTCTTTCGACCAGCTAAAGAGTCAGGGGTGGGGAAGATTACAAATACAAGGGGGTCTTTGGCTTCTGGCAAACTTGCCCATTTGTTGTGGAACCACAGCCAGCATATCAGGTCATCAGGGCAACGAGGGGGGGGGGCATTCTTGATTTCTTGGTTTACATCCATCCTGGAGAGGATGAAGAGTTTTCTTAGAGGCAAAGACCACTGTTTTTGTTTGTTTGTTTTTTTTATTGTCCTTATTGTTGGTTTGTTTTGTGGTGCTGGGGATTGAGCCCACAGCCTTGTGCATGTGAGGCAAGCACTCTACCAACTGAGCTACACCCCCGTCTTACATTAACAAGACAAAAGCATTCTGCCAGATCAGAGGCACCTTGACAATGACATTTACACTGCTCTCAGCAAAGAAAGTGTGTTCCCAGAGCGTGGCCATAGTCTTTGGGAGATTCCCAGCATAAGGGACAGGAGAGGAGCAGAGAGGGATGCAGAGATTGGCGCTGGGCAAGTGATTTTGGTGATGGTCATTTTCCTTGAATGCCTATGTTGAACTAAGGGAAATGTCCCCATGGGGCCGCATCCCCCGCCACATGGCCTTCAAGCGCCACCCAGAGTTGGGGTGACCCTGCTGCAGCCTGTCCTGCGCTGGTGCAGGTTTGCCTGGATTATCGGATTTCACGAGGCACAGAGGTAGTGCTGGTCGAGAGGAGGCTCCAGTTCTTCCCTCCTCTGACTGGGATCTGTCCCGGCCGAGGTCCATTTCTGTCTCTTCCAGCCACGGCAGGGTCTTCTACAACAAGCCCTGGCTGCTTGAACTTCCCATGAGAGAGGCTTCTCTCTCTGTGTTCCTTGCCTCCTTGTTCTCAGCTGGGGACCTGCCAACCTCTGGACTGTGGACAGCTCACTGCTGCTGGCAGGCTCTTTCCCCTGCCCCCACCTTGTCCCTTCATGCAGGTGACGCTCCCCAGAAGCACACAGGTGGCTGCCCTGTGCAAGCCCCTCCCCCCACACCTGGTTTCTCCAGCTCAAGAACATTCCAGTGAGTTCTGAAGTCCTCCCCCGCCCTGCAAGCCCAGAGGGTGCCTCAGGAGAGAGCCAAGGTTGGACAGACCTGCAGAGCAGCCCTGCCCTGCACTCTGTCCCCAGGCCCATCCTGGAAGGTTGCTGAATACCCGATCCCCGGGGCCTTCCTCCCTGGTGAGCACAAATGCTACGTGACTTAGTTAAGATCATCCCAAACAACTTCCCTGAGGTACCCTAAAAGAAAAGCATTGCTTTTGGTGGTGCTGGGGATTGAACCCACGGCCTGGTGCATGGGAGGCGAACACTCTGCCAACTGAACCCCAGCCCCAGGCATTGCTTTCTGTTGTCCAGGAGTTCTTGGTCCCAGAATTCAGCTCACCCAACCCTGCTGGTTGAATGGCCACTTAACGGGGCTCCCCTCAAACACACAAAACTCCAAGGGCCATCTCTTCCCCTCTGGCAGAAGTGCTAAGTAGATCAGGAAGGACGCCTGGGCAGCTCGGGGCAGCCTCGCCTGTCTGGTCCTACTCCCTGGTTAGCTGCCGAGGACACAGGCCTCGTGTAGGTGGCTGCTTCACTCCACACCTAGCCACTGGCTCTGCTCTTGCCTGCTCTGCACCGAGTGCCTGGGGAAGGGGTCCCCTCTGCGGTGTCTGGACACGCATGGTGTGTGGCTTGTGCGTCCATACATACCTGAGCACATACAGCTGAATCCAACCTTGTGCATCATATCTCATCCACACCTCTGCCATGTCACCCGAGCTACAGAGGAATCATCTGGACCATTGTGACGTGATGCTGCCCAGCACTGCCCTGGGCCCATGCACGTGTCCCTGCCCTCAGACACAGGCATCTAACAGACTCCCTGTGGGCTGCTGCCCTGGCCAGGGTCCTGCTGCAAGAGAAGATGGCTGCTCCCTCCCCTCCCTACGCCGTGGTCATTGTTCTACCATCCAGTGCCTTAATCCTAGTTTACAAATACTGTGTATTTATGGAGACTGCTGCGCTCTCATCTTGGTGACTGGGTGTTTGTCTCGTCAGTGGTGGTTGGTGTGGGACACGAGCTGTCCTAGGCCATTCTCGTGTTGAGTCCGCTGTGCAGTTGGACGTGGTGTGTCCACAGCTACTCCAGGGAGCCTTGCTAGAAACAGCACCGTGGTTCCGGGGGCCGGGCCAGCCTCGCCCATGGCTGCGTCCCTCAGGAGCCCACGAAAGAACGCAGTTTGGTTTGTGGCCAGCTGGGGAGTGGCACAGCCAGGCTCCTGACCCCAGCCCCTCGGCCATCCCCATCACAGCTGTGCCCTTGTCTCCTAGAGGTGTGACTGCCGCCTGGCCACCCTGGCTTTCCTCTCTTAGTGTCCTAAACTCTTTTGCAACAAAATGTAGGTCCAGGTCCCCCCACTGGGACACCACCGGAAGAGTTAGTCCTTGGTTTTTCAGAAGCTGCTGGTGGGTTCCTGTGTGTTGTGTTATATCGATGATTTTTTAATTGTTTTTCTTCTTGTTTTTTTATATTATATATTTAAAGGCAGTATCTTTTGTACTGTGAATCTGCAGTAGAATATGCATAATGCACTTTTTTTTACTTCCGTTGGTGTGTATTATATATAGTCTGTGTGCTTCTTGTGATGAAAATAAACTTTTTCTTTATAAATGCCTGATGACTATGCATTTGTTCAACAGGAAACTACCTCGTTAGCCTTTGCCAAGACAGTCTGATTCTTCATCTTCATCATCATCCTCATCCTGGACAGTCTTTACTGAGCACCTACTGTGTACTATGCTCTATGCCCAAAACCCTGGACAAGTTAGACCAGGGAGAAGTGTCAGGTCTTTCCAGGACGCGCCTCGTTCCCTGGTTCTGTCAGGAAGGAACAGGCCCTCTGCCGGGTGGCCATTTGTACACCAGAAAAAATGCTCCTCACCAGAATGGGACTGGGATTTGGGGTGGTCTGTCCATTACAGTAGAAATCAGAGCCAGAGGTGCGCCCCAGAGGATCACCAGGTGGGAGTGGTCCCCCCACATGGCAGGGACCAGAGGCTGTGGGGCCGTGACTGCTCACTGCCATGGCAGGAGATGGTCACTGCGCACGGCGGAGGCCCGCTCGTGCCCACGTCACACCAGGCAGTTCTGGTGGCGCTCTCTCTCCCTGGGTGTGCCACCTTTCTGTCACTCTGACAAAGTACCCAAGATAAACAGGAGGGGAAGGTCGGTTGTCCCCTCACCACCCCGTCTACGCTGCTGAAGATGGAGCCCAGGGCTTGGGGCGTCCTGGGCCAGCACCCTGCCACCAAGCTGGGTCTCCATCCCCAGCAGGTCCTGTTGGCTCAGGGCCTCGGAGGCCTCAGTGCATGGTGGATCCGTCTGTTTGCTCAGCCCAAAGAGAAAAAGCTGCTCCCCTGGGGGGGATGGGGAGACAGAAGGTTCAGGAAGGGCCCCCCCACCCCCACCCCCTGGAGGGCAGGCGCCCAGCGGCCTGACTTCCTCCTGCCAGGCCCCAGCTCCTGAAGGCTCCGCCACCACCCCAGGGCACCATCAGCTGAGGACTAAGCCCTCAAGGCATGGCCTTTGGGGAACCTTTAAAATCCAAACTGTTGCTAAAGCTGCACAAACAAGCAAACACCCCCAGAAAGTATACATGTGAGGCCAAATCATGGCTGGAAACTGCTTATCAAGTATGAAATTCAAAGCAGAGGTTAGTGTTGTCACGCTGGAATGCAGTCCTGTCATAAGATGTCTGGAGGACACTCCCAGGACTGGAGGTGTAGCTCAGCCCCCCAGGCCCTGGTTCAGTCCCCAGCGCGGCTGCGGAGGGAGGGAGAGCCCTGGCTTAGGGAGAGCCCTGGCTTAGGAACGCCTCCTGGCAAACTGCAGGTACCAACCATTTCTCTTTGGGTCCTAAATGTGAATCCGATTCTGGGGACAGGGCCCAGCAATCTGTATGTCGATTCCCTGGGAATCCCGATGGCCGAGTTTAGAAAATACCAAAACAAGACTGATGCAATTGAGCAGGCTCACACTTCACCGGTTCCGATCACGTTCCACGGGGGCTCTCGGGAGACACACCATGACGCCTAACAGAGAACATGGGTGTTCCCAAGCCTCCTCGATCCTTGCTTATTGGGGGTTCTCAGAATGTTCCATAACTGGCTGGTGTCACCTGGCTTTCATCTCGGAGTGGACATGCAGGTTGGGTGTGGTCCCAGATCATGCCTCTGTGCTGGGAGGCTTGCAGGGGAGAGTCCACGGGCCTGCTTAAGTCCCGGGAAATCCCTTGGAAAACCTTCCAGAAGGCAGAGGGGGCCCCCACGTCGTCAGGAAGCCCCTTTCCAAAGAGGCGTCCACCCAGGGTGCGCAGAGTGATCCCCGCCCGGAAACGCCACTCGTCCTTGCACCCTAAAGCCAAGAACCAAAAGGACACGGTCCTTGGTATCCTTAGGGGATTGTTCCAGAACCTTCTCCCCATGGAGAGCACAGTTCACAGATGTCAATTCCCTAAGTAAGATGGCTAGTATTAGCAAATAGTCTTTGTACACCTCCCCCCACTTTAAATCATCTCCAAATTGCTTATGACATTGAATGCAGTGTAAATGCCATGTATAGAATTGTTTATTGCTTAGGGAATGGTGACAAGAAGTCTGTATAGTCATGCAGATTTAAGTGTTTTTTGGGGGGGAGGTTACCAGGGATTAAACTGAGGGGCACTGAGCCCCACCCCCAGCCCTGTTTTGTATTTTAGACAAGGTCTCAGTTGCTTAGTGCCTCACTTTTGCTGAGGCTGGCTTTGAACTTGCGACCCTCCTGCCTCAGCCTCCCGAGCTGCTGGGATGACAGGCGTGGGCGGCTTCACAGAGGACTTCTGCTCACAGTGATGCAGGGTGTTTTTTTTTCCCCTGATATTTTCTAATGGCTTTTGAATCCCCAAATGCAGAATCAGCTGCACTTATGCATCTTCCATGTGCCTGACGTGAGGACTCCCTCTGAATCCTCCACACAGCCTCTTCCTCGGTTTATGGATAAAGAAACCGGCCTGCAGAGCACAACGAATTAGCCTTTGGTTACACCCAGAGAGTGATAAACCAGACAGATATTACTGACTCCCATCTGGAACCTTCCCTAGAGCGGAGTCTCCCGGCCCCAGAGTAGAAATAAGCAAACAAGATGCATCCTGTCCCCGCTTTAGGTCCCAGCAACAGAGCAGAGGGGTTAGAGCTGAAGCCTCGAGCCCCGAAGAAGTCAGACCCACTGCATGCTCCAGAGGCTGTTGGGGCCACACACAGCGGGTCTCCTGCTCCCAAATCCTATTCACCATGCTTTGCCTTTAAAGGGAAACTGCTCGTGCTTCTTGAAGTGTACTTGTCAAGGGTCCAGTTCCAGCTTCAAATTCCTTTTTTTTTTTTTGTAAACTGTTCCAGCGCATAAAAGATCAACACACACACATTAGCAGCCTCTCAATCTGGGAAAGGATGTGCTGGCATCTGACACTAAGAGTCCAGTTCTCCGAGCTGGGGACATAGCTCAGTGGTAGAGTGGGTATGTAGCATGTGCAAGGCCTGGTGTCCATCCCCAGCACCACCCAAAAAAACCAAAAAGATTCTCCCTAAAGTGTTGCATTGGAGTGGGGAGCTCCCTCTGGTTCTTGACATGGGATATCAAAATGTGGTGAGAGCCGGGCTCGATGGCACACTCCTGTCATCCCAGCGGCTCAGGAGGCTGAGGCAGGAGGATCAAGAGTTCAAAGCCAGCCTCTGCAAAAGCGAGGCCCTAAGCAACTCAGGGAGACTCTGTCTCTAAATAAAATACAGAATAGGGCTGAAAATGTGACTTAGGGGTCGAGTGCCCCTAAATTCAATCCCCAGTACCCCCCCCAAAAAAATGGGGCAAGAACAATGCTACCTGCCTCCTGGGACCAGTAATTTGAGAATTAACTAATAACTGGGAGATGCAAGGCCCACTCTGTAGGGGGCACCCTGTCCATGCTGAATGACCGCTATTGTGGGTCCTGGTGGAAGAGGAAGGAACGGAGGATGGTGAGAAGAACTATATCTCCACTAGTGGCAATAGTTTTGCAAACAGCTGCCCCTTACAGATACTAAAATCCAGGATTCCCAAGGCCCTTGTGTGAAGTGGTGTTGTATTTACAGAGAACCTACCTGCACCCTCCCCTAGAGGAAAATCATGTCTGGGTTTCTCGCCACACCTAATGCACTGTCCATGCTGAGTGAATCGTTGTTAAACTGTCATGTTTAGGGGATAATGGCAAAAAGGTCTGCACATTTTTCACTACAGATGAAATTTTTTCCCAAAAATATTTCCAATCCGAGAGGTAGGTCACGTCCTTGGATGGGGGCCCCTAGACGTGGAGGGCCAACCGTATGTGCATGACTGAGTCCATCTTTATAGCCGACCTTGGGCCTGTTTTACAAACCAAGAGCTGGATGCTCAGACCAGGTAACATGGGTCAGGGGCATGCCTCCAGGAAGGGACAGAGACCAGAGGCCCCCGATTCCAAGTTCATGCCCTCTCTACCCCACCATCTTCTTTCCAAAGAAAAGGGCCCCTCATCCGCTGGGCACGATGCTGACTGTGTTTGGTTTCAGCAGGAACTTGCTGATAGTGAGTGAACGGGATGTTCCACCAAAGGAAGCCTCAGCTTCCTTCTCCAAGGCTTTGGAAGCTTGGGGACTCCCAGGATTGCCAAACCACGTTCTTCTGCGACAGGGGCTGCATCTCAGTCTCCTCCAGGTCTGGGATGTTGGGACTGTGAATCAAAGAATCCTGAGTTTTCCAGAAGAGTCCAGAAGAATCAAGAAAACATGATGCTAGCTGAGCCCCTGTATTTCACGGTTCTGGAATTCTGTCTCTGTGTCTGGAGCCCCTGCCTGTGCCAGGCACTTGAGAGAAAAGGGGAAGTGATTTCATGGCTGGGGGTCCTCTTGGGCCTTCAGTAAGAAAGGAATCTTACACCTGCTAACAGCGATGGGCTGGGCGTGGATGGGAAGGGTCTGAGAACTCGGGCCTTTTACATGCTAAGCACATCTTTGAGCCCAACCTTGGACCCTGGGTTTCATTGCTTTATTGTGTGTGTGTGTGTGTGTGTGTGTGTGTGTGTGTGTGTGTGTGTGTGTTGAACCACAGAGCCTAGTGCATGCCAGGCAAATACTCTACCAACTGAGCTATGTCCCCAGCCCTCATTGTTTTATTCTTATAACTGTTTCCCAAAACCTCTGCAACAGGATCATGTTACTTTAATAAAAAACTACAATATATCATTCACTATATTGTAAAAATATTCATTTCCTGTGTATAGTGGTGCACCTCTGTTAATCCCAGCTTCCTGGGAGGCTGAGGCAGGATCACTTCAGCCCAGTATTTGAGACCAGCCCGGATAACTCAGTGAGATCCTAAAGCTTAAAGAAACAAATTGAGCGCGGTGGCCCACACCTGTCATCTCAGCATCTCCGGGAGGCTGAGGCAGGAGGATCACGAGTTCAAAACCAGCCTCTGCAAAATCGAGGGGATAAGCAACTCAGAGAGACCCTGTCTCAAAATAAATTAAAAGGACTAGGGATGTAGGTCCGTGGTAAAGTGCCCCTGGGTTCCATCCCCAGTTCCAAAATAAATAAATATATGAAAAGTAATAAAATTTTAAATATTTGTTTCTGAATTAGGGAAATGTTAAGATTTTTAAAAAAGATGGTTTCATATTGAGCTCAAAAGTGCTCTCTGAGCGCCAAGAAGCATGGTTCTAGGGCGCTGAGCATAACGCTTTGGGAGAAGGGTCCCTTGTCCCCCTTCATGAGGTAGCAAGGGTCCCCAGGCAGACAGAGTGCTCTCAGATTGCTGCAACTCAGGGTGCCAGACAGGGCTTCCTCTCCTCCCACCCGCCCCTCCAGGCTATAGTGCCCAGCCCTCTGAGTGACTACAGCTGTCACTGAGCTGCAAAGCACGGCCAGCTTCAGGCCAGCTGCACAGGACTCTGGCTCAGCAAAGCCCCCGCGCTTGCTTCAATGCTCTTCCATCGCGGTCTTGAAATCCCCAATGATTCCTTCCCAGGGGCGCAGGCTTCTCATTTTGCACTGAGCCAGACAAGTTGCAGAGTTGGTCCTGGCAGTATGACGGGTCCATCGAGGGTTTTGCAGCAAGACAGCCCTGGGCTCTGATCCCAGCCCTGTATTTTATGCACTCAGGACGAGTGATTGAATCTCTCTGTGCCTCAGTTTCCTCATCTGAAGAACAGGAATAACCTCACAGTGGTGATATAAAGATTAGAACCATGTTATGAGTACAAAAGTAAACACCCTGAATGTCTTTTTTTTTGGGGGGGGGCACTGGGGGTTGAACTCAGGGGCACTCGACCCCTGAGCCCCATCCCCAGCCCTATTCTGTATTTTATTTAGAGACAGGGCCTCACTGAGTTGCTTAGGGCCTCACTTTTGCTGAGGCTGGCTTTAAACTTGTGATCCTCCTGCCTCAGCCTCCCGAGCCGCAGGGATGATAGGCGTGTGCCACCGCGCCTGGCCATCCTGGACTTTTTTTTTTTTAATATTTTAAAAAATATTTTATTCATTTATTTATATGTGGTGCTGAGAATTGAACCCAGTGCTTCACCATGTGAGGCAAGCACTGTACCGCTGAGCCACCACCCCAGCCCCTGACTTCTGATATCATGCGTTATACAGGGAACTTAGCCAAGGTCATTGCACAAAGCCATCCTTAGAGAAGTGCCTGTAATAGCGGGCAGGACATTGGGCAGCCGTCCCTTCGCCAGACCTCCTTTCCTCTTGCCTCCTTAGCACCTGTGTGAAGGGCAGAGGGAGGTGGACGCAAGCTCCCTGGAAGGAGGCCCTCAGCTGGGCTGTGTCCTCAGCCACTGACCCCTCCGAGGACACAGATCTGCCTCTCTCCAGACACAAACACCGTCTGTCCTCGTCCTGAGCCTGGGGAGTCCTTCCCTGAGCCTTTGAGGAGGGAAACACATGGGCGGCCTGTGAGCGTGGGCTTGTCCCTGCTGTGATCCAGAGGTACATCCTGTTCTGCCGTTGCCATGGAAGATCCAGAAACATCGACCACAACAGAGGCTGCGGCTGGCGGCTGGCAGCGGGGCCAGGGCTGGGCAAGGGCCTGGGCAGGCTGAGCACCAGGGGCCAGGCCTGAGAGAGCACCAGGCTTGCAGCTGGACAGGGACCTGGGAGACCTCCCCCGGCACCCCCACCTGTCCTCAGGCAGGCGTACGTTTGCCCACACATGGGCACAGAAGCTGGCACGTAGGCAAGATTTCCCTCGGGGAAGAGTCCCTAACTCGATTTTCTTCCTGGAGATGCTGAGAAAAGAACTGGGCCCTTCCAACTTCTTACCCCTGTGCAGTCCACAGCCTGGACACAGAACGGCCCAGTCCCATCTTGCTCCCCAGATGGAATTCGCTTTTCTAGTTGTCATCCCCCACTAACCCCCTTCAGTGGGTAAACACAGTCATGGTAACAAACTCACAGGATGCAGAGGAGTAAGGGCCACTGAGACTTGCCTACTGCTGTGGTCTGAGCCAGCTGCAGGTCACATGTCTCTGAGCATCATACAGGTATAAAGTGCTCAGAACGGTCCCTGGCCCCCGGAGTGTGCCCGGCATGCATGCATCTGTCCAATGAAACAACTGGCCAAGTGATCTGATTTTGTGGGACACACGGTCCATGCATTAGTAACACCTTTTCTCAAAAGAGACACTAGAGCTCTGAGCTCAGACCCCCGCCCTTGGCTGCTTTTCTTCATTCTTCATTCTGCCGAGCACTTTGGGGTCGCCCTGGGACTGCGCTCCAGCCCTGACCTCATGCCTCCTAGGGGCTGCAGGTGCACCTGAGCTCACAGACTGGCCCCACACTCACTGACGTCACACCCTGTCTGAGCCTTCAGGGTTTCTGGTCAGTGGTAGACTCCATGATCCTGGGCTCCGAGGGTCTGTCTGCTCCAAAAGCCTGGACTTGAGTGGTGACCACTCCTCCCCACCAACTTCTTTGTGCTCTGCAGTGGGGGGGCACTCAGCTGGAATCATAACTGTCATTATGGATGACATCCCTTGAGTCACACTGGACAGAGCGGCCTTTCTCAGATGAAGGGACTCATAAGGGAAATGACTCACCCATGGGGCCCAGCCAAAAGGCAGAGAATTGCAGAGCTGTCTCTTCCAGGAAGCCACCCCTGATAGTGCCTGTCTAAACTCTGAAGAGACGGCTGTTCAGTCTGAACACCCCACGGGCATGCCCAGGACTGTGAGCTCCCTGAGGGCAGGGCTAGGGCAGGCTTATTGGGATCAATCCTGTGCCTGACACAGTAGGTGCTTGATAATATTTGTTGAACGACTTAACAAAGAAGACACCAATAGATCAACGATGGGGCTTACTTTTTTTTTTTTTTGGTACTGGAGATTGAAGTGGTACTCTCTGCTACTGAACGATATCCCCAGCCCTTTTTATTTTGAGACCAGGACTCCCTAAGTTGCCGAAGCTGGCCTGGAATTTGCAGTGCTTCCTGTCTCAGCTTCCTGAGTTGCTGGGATGACATGTGTGCACCAGGTTCTTTCCCTTTCTTGAGACATGAGGGTTTGGGGGCAGTTTGGTAGCCGGAGTTAGGCTCTTGCTCTGACACTTCCTGGCATTTTATTTACCTCTCTGAAGCTCTGTTTCCTTCTCTTTAAAATAGGGTTATAGTCTATGGGAGGGTCAGAGAGGACCCACATTGGCTGACACATAGTAGGTGGTCAATAAACAGCTCTACATGAAGTCAGTCTTCTGGGGTTCAAACCTCTACTCCCACACTGTCACTGAGTAACCTTGATAAATCTCGTCCTCTCTGTGGGTCTCATTTTCCAGACTCCTCACTTGGGGATAATAGAGCACCATTCCCTGAGTGGGGGTGGGGATTGATGGAGACCCTCTGCATAGTTAGGTTGCCTATGAACAGAGCTTCTGTGATTTAGGGCAAGCTCTTGGATGGCACGGACGTGTGCCCCTTCTCCTACCCCTTCCCTAGGGCCTCACTCAGTGCCAGGCACACAGTAGGGCCACAGACAGCTGAAGGAATGGAATCGCCATTTCGGCTGCAGGCTCAGAGCCAGCGCCGGCGCCCAGACGCCCCCCAGGCGTTTTCCCGTCTCATTTCCTGGCTAGGTGGGGAGAGAGCCGCAGCTGCTGTGGCCTTTTGTGCTGAGTTTGGTGGAGGCTGGTGGCAGCTGCTGCCCCAGGAGAGCCCGGGAGGCTGGGGAGGAAGGAAGGAGGGGAGGAGGGCTGAAGGGAGACCGGAAGCCTCAAAGTGAGCCCCGCGCCCAAGGGGACCAGCCACTGGGAGAGCAGGACTGGGGCCTCCCAGCTGTGCCTCCAGCTGCGCCTGTGGATGGGCCAATCGGCTCTGAGCCCCGCTTCCTGTACCAGGGGCTGTTGATGACACTGCGACCAGGGGGGTGGGGCTGCGAGGGAAGCCTGAGGCATACAGTAAGTGCTCCATAAATGTACTCGTCACTTCTGCCCCTCAGAGAGGTTGTAGGGTAGCATCTGCCTCTACATATGGGGACACTGAGGCCCAGAGAGAGGCAGGGACCGGTCCAGGTCGCAGGGCCGGTATCTTGCTGGTTCCAGCTGGGCTTTAGCCACCCCCTGCCTGAGCCCCGCAGAGGAGGCCGGAGACTGGGGGCTGGGGGGAGGGGGACGGGGAGGAGGCTTCACCGCGAGAGGCCAAGCGCTTTGATGGGTCTCTCACGACACCCCGAAAACGCCTGGACAGCAGCAGCTCTGTCGCCTCCACTTTACACATGAGGAAACTGAGGGTCAGAGAAGTGAAGCCACTTGCTCCTTAGAGCACATGTTGGTGGGAGAAAGGGTGTCCCCCGCCCAGGCCTGTTCCCAGCCCGGGGGAGCTGGGCATTTGGGGAGCTGAGTCGGCCTTCCCACCCCCAGATGAGAAGTGAGGGGAGGACACAAGGCCAGCAGCATTTGGGCTTGTGACGTCACTGAAGCTCTCAAAGAAAGGGGTGGAGGGGCCTGTCACCCTCATTCCACCCCGACCCCCAACCCCGCCCCAGCCCGGGGCGCACCAGACTCCGGAGCAGCCAATCCGCGGGGAGGTGGCTGCGGCAGTCCCAGGGGCGGGGCGGGGCCCGACGGGGCGTGGCCATGCCTCCTGTGGCCCCGCCCCCTGGCGCCCCACCTCTGCCCCAGGCGCACGCCGACCAGGAGGAGTCCGGGTGCCTAGGTCCTGCTTCACCTGCGGTGGCGCGTCGAGCACGCATCGGG